TTTTAAAGAGTAGAATGTCCCTCATTGTGATGTTTTGTCACGATGGGGTTTGTCGGCTATTTTCTCATGATTAGGGTGAGGTTTTGCATTAGTGGGAAGAAGACCCCAGGGACCATGCACCTTCTCAGTGCCCATCCCACCAGGTATTACTGTTGTATTGCTGGTTGTATTAGGGTATCTACTGCCACACAACAAATTACCCCACAACTTAGTGGACTACCATTTATGATCTCAGCTTCCGTGGGTCAGGAATCCAGGCACGGTTTAGCAGCAGGGGCGGCCGTGGTCTCATCTGAAGGTTCGACCGGGGCAGGATCTGCTTCCAGGCTCACTCACGTGGCTGCTGGCAGGATTCAGTTGCTAACGGGACGTTGGACTGAGGACCACAGTTCTTCATTGGCTGGGGGCCTCTCCAGCTTACATATGGCAGCCGGCTTTCATCAATGAGCAAGTGAGAAAGCAAGAGAGCAAGCAGGACAGACCCAGTTTCTTTGCAACCTAATCTCAGAACTGCCATCCTATCACTTTTGCCATGTTCTATTTGTTATAAGCAAGGTCCAGCCTATGCCAAAGGGGAAGGGATTACACAAGGGTGGGAATACTTGGAGGAGGGGATCTTTACCGGCCATCTTAGAGGCTACCTACCACGCTTGTGATATTAACTTTGATCACTTGGTTACGGCAGTATCTACACTTCCTATTTTCCCCTTTGTAATGAATGAATACATTTTTTTAAAGTCTTTTTTTTTTAAAGATTTTATTTTTCCTTTTTCTCCCCAAAGCCCCCAGTACATAGTTGTGTATTTTTAGTTGTGTCTCCTTCTAGTTGTGGCATGTGGGACGCCGCCTCAGCATGGCTTGATGAGCGGTGCCATGTCCGTGCCCAGGATTTGAACTGGTGAATCCCTGGGCCGCCACAGCAGAGTGTGCGAACCTAACCACTCAGCCACGGGGCTGGCCCCTGAATAAATACTTTTGATGAGATACTTTGAGACCGTGCAAATATCCTACTTCTGCTTAAACTTTCGCCCACCAATTTTAGCATCTATCAATGCATCTTGCCTACAGCAATTTACCACGATGGTGATACAATGGTGGGTGATTTATTTCCTTCTTCCCTTCTACATTTATTAATTGGAATCCTTTTGTAATGAACAGTTGCTCCTTTTCCCCCATTTATGTATTCAGTTATTGATATGAGCATGGGCTCAGGGATATTTATTTTATTCTTTGGGTTATAGTCCAATACTATCCCTATTTTGTTGCTCAAGTTGTCCCAAATTTGGCTACTGGGAACTCTTTCACAGGTTGGCTTCTATGCCCTTTCCACATGCTTCCATCCTCTTCCTTTGAGCACTTCTTACTTCCTGACACAAGATGCTCCAGGCTCAGCTTGCACTTTTCCTGCCCTAGCTCTGGAACCAATCCCTTCCCCAAGGAGCCCTAGTTTCTTTTTTTTTTTTTGGTTTGTTTGTTTGTTTTTGAGGAAGATTAGCCCTCAGCTAACTACTGCCAGTCCTACTCTTTTTGCTGAGGAAGCCTGGCTCTGAGCTAACATCCGTGCCCACCTTCCTCTACTTTTATATGTGGGACGCCTACCACAGCATGGCTGCCAGGCGGTGCCATGTCCGCACCCGAGATCCGAACCAGCGAACCCCGGGCCGCCAAGAATCGGAACGTGCAAACTTAACCGCTGTGCCACCGGGCCGGCCCCCCTTGTTTCTTTTCTTGGAGAATGTTATTTAGAAACCAAGATCTGGGTGCTGGGTATGCTCATTACTACTGGGGTGTCGCTGCTTCTGGTCCCTCTAAGCAGATAATGCATGGAAATATATGTACGTATACGGACATATTTGTATTTCTGTGTGTGTCTATGTACATATACATGAGTTCATACCAATGCTGCCAACTCTAATCCACTTCATTCTAACCACACCCTTCCACCCATCCCCACCTCCGATTTATTTGTAACTTCTTTCTCCAGCAGTGAGAAACCTGGCTCTCATTATCTACTATGTATTTATCCATTTGTTCAACCCTGTGTGTGTATACATGTACAAAACTAGTTTCAAGGGGCCAGCCTGGTGGCGTAGTGGTTAAGTTCACATGCTCTGCGTTGGTGACCCAGGGTTCGCAGGTTCAGATCCTGGGCACGGACCCACACACTGCTCATTAAGCCATGCGGTGGCAGCGTCTCACATACAAAATAGAGGAACATTGGCACGGATGTTAGCTCAGTGACAATCTTCCTCAAGCAGAAAAGAGGAAAATCGGCAACAGATGTTAGCTCAGGGCCAATCTTCCCCACCAAGAAAAAAACAAACTAGTTTCAGAATTTCTAAATCATACCACTGTGAGGAACATATATACACCAACCAGAGCAGTGTTTTTATATAATCCTTTTTGTTTTTAGCCTTTCAGTATCCAGCCAAAATACTTCCTAAGTTACTTTTTTCCAAAGCTCCTTTCTTCCCCACCCCCTTCAGTGTGGTCATGTGCTTCGTCTATAATATGGGCAGATTCATTCAACAGCCTGCATTCCATTTTCCTTCCCACATCCTCGTGGACAAATGCAGTCCTGCATCCACTACCACAGTTCCAGACAGGGCAGTTCCATCACCCCAAAATCCCTCCATTCCACCCTTTATTTTGTGTGAGGAAGACTAGCCCTGAGCTAACATCTGCCGCCAATCCTCTTTTTGCTGAAGACTGGCCCTGGGATAACATCCGTGCCCATCTTCCTCTGCTTTATATGTGGGACCCCTGCCACAGACACCAGGGCTTCATAAGCAGTGTGGAGGTTCACACCTCGATCTGAACTGGTGAACCCTGGGTCACCAAAGCGGAGCATGCGAACTTAACTGCGGCACCACCAGGCCAGCCCTGAGAAACTTAATTTTTAACAAAACATTTGGATTTTTTTACAAGCAGACATTAGCAGAGTCATCTTTTATTTATTTATTTATTTTTTGAGGAAGATTAGCCCTGAGCTAACATCTGCCACCAATCCTCCTCTTTTTGCTGAGGAAGACTGGCCCTGAGCCAACATCCCTGCCCATCCTCCTCCACTCTACATGTGGGACGCCTGCCACAGCACGGCCTGCTAAGCAGTGCCATGTCCACACCCGGGATCCGCACCTGGCCATCCAAACCGGCGAACCCCGGGCCGCCGAAGCAAACATGCGCACCCAACCGCTGCGCCATTGGGCCGGTCCCAGCAGAGTCATCTTTTAAAAATAAAATTGAAGTTTATGTAAACGCAGTGAAAAAAGCCTGACCTCGGGAGAGAAGGGGGTGAGAAGGGCTTTACTTTTGGTCTGTACTTTTCTGTAGTGATTTGAAATTAACAAGGAATCACCTTGCCAAGGCTGTCATGTAGTTAAAAAATTTTTGTTGGTTTTTTTTTTTTTAAAGATTTTATTTTTTCTCCCCAAAGCCCCCCGGCACATACTTGCATACTCTTCGCTGTGGGTCCCTCTAGTTGTGGCACGTGGGACGCCACCCCAGTGCAGCTTAGATGAGCAGCGCCATGTCCGCGCCCAGGACCCGAACCAACGAAACACTGGACCGCCTGCAGCGGAGCGCGTGAACCCAACCACTCGGCCACGGGGCCAGCCCCTGTTGGGTTTGTTTTAAAACAGACGGGTAAAGGGGAGACTGAGCTCTAAGTGCAGGAGTAAGGGTACCAGGAAGCGGGCCTTTTTGGACATGTCAGGAGGAAGCAAAGCCTAGGGACAGGAAGGGAGCCAAGAGGCTGGGTAGGGAGATGACTAATGGAGACCAAGGAGAGACCATCCCCAGTGAACTACAGGCCAGCAGCATCCCAAGAAGCTTGGTGGCGGAAGGAAGGCAGAAGGCTGGGTAGAGCTTGGGGGGAGGGGCGGAGCAGTGGGCTAGCCTTGGATGTGGTTATGTACTGAAGAGGATGGCCAGGTCAATACAAAAGAGGATAGAAGGGATGGGGCAAGGTTCTAGGCGAAGTTTCCAAGGACTCCAGAGTGGAGGGCTCTGGGAAAGGACAGGGCCAAGGTCAACCTCAGGATGTGGGGCCAAGGGAACAGAGATGGGGTTTCTGGTGTCCTGTCTACCCACACCTGAGGGAAGAAGGCTGGAAACAGCTAATGGCACTATGTGCCAGGCATCCCGCCGCTTTCACGGCATCACCTCATCGAGATGCGGGGGCCATCAAGGTCGCCCTTTTTAGAGGAGGAAACTCAGGCTGACTCCCCCAAATTCCACTGCCAAAGATCAGTTAAGGGGCTGGCGTAGCAGTTAAGTGCACACGTTCCGCTTCGGCGGCCCTGGGTGCTAGTTCAGATCCCGGGTATGGACATGGCACCGCTTGGCAAGCCATGCTGTGGCAGGCGTCCCACATATAAAGTAGAGGAAGATGGGCATGGATGTTAGCTCAGGGCCAGTCTTCCTCAGCAAAAAGAGGAGGATTGGTGGCAGATGTTAGCTCAGGGCTGATCTTCCTCAAAAAAAAGAGGTGAGTTAAAATTCAGCCTATGGCATGCTGTCTCACTCTGTCCACTAGGATTTCCCAAGTGCCAGGGACTGTGGATGCTTACCCACGCTTTATCTCATCTACACTTGACAACACGACAGTGCAGTAAACACCTTCAGTCCCAGTCTGGATAAGGAAATGAAGGCGTAGGGTGGTTAAGTAACTGGGCCAGTGTCACCGCTGGTGGCAGAGCTGGGATTCCAGCCATAGTCTGTCTGAATCCAGAACCTGTATTCCAAACGACTACAGACTGTCCTTACTCACAGGCTCCTTCGTCTATTAGGATGACGATAATCCCAGGCTCTCTTGACCTTCGTGGCAAGCCCCAGCCCTCTGGGCTTCCAGTCAGGCTCCCAGTGTGCTGGCTTCCTCTTCCCTCACTGATCCAGTCGATCCTGACCTCTTATTGAGCAGCTGGGTACTGAGACAGTGACAACCAGATACCAACCCTCCCCTCATTAGATAGCCATCACTCAAAGATGACAACAACGAAGCAGCTTCTCAGTTTTTATTAACATCAGTCTTTAAAAACAAGCATCTATACCAGTGTGGGGGGTGAGGGTGGGAGGGGAGAAGAGAAGAGAACAGAAGAGAACAGAAGAGAAGCGGGCAGAGCAGGGGGAAGATATTCTGCTCTACTGGTAATAAAGCTCCAGGTTCATGCCATCGTGGATTTCATCTGAAGTAAAGGGTTAAGGAGTCCTCACTGGGGGCTCCATTCCCACCCCTCCCACCTCTCACACCTGGGTCTAGGGACCTGAGGACTCAGCCCAGGACCAAGGAAGCCATTATGGTCTGGGTGCTGCTGATTGGGAGATAATCCAAACAATAAAAATAATCGTGCACGGGTCTCACTCCACCTTGACCAGTCTACACTCAGGTGGAGCTCAGTAATAAATATCTTGACCTTCAAGGGCCTTCTAAGCCGAGTCAAAATATCTCACCAACCTCCCCCAACAAAACGACACGGCTCTCATTTTCTAAATGCCTACCATGTGCCACATACTAACAAACACATTATGTACATAACCTCATACGGACTCCAGCACTGAACAAAGAAAACTTAGTCTGGGTATGTAGACCCTTCCTCAAGAAGTCACACAAAGGATACAGTCCCCCAGGGACACGTGGTCCTTAAAAATCGTGTACCTATGGGATGCAAAGCTTTCAGACAGACGCCCAAGGCGGCTCTTTATCCTGCATAAGCAAAGGGCTGCCGGCAGCGCTCCCCCAACCACAACCTTCTGGCCTAGTCCTGCCCAGCCCCCAGCTCTGCCACCGCACTCACCACTTCTTAAGGACGATCTTGTTCCAACGGGTGCCCGTCTGGGCTGCGATCAGCTTCTTAAGGTCCCCGATGGTGTCATCCGTGCTGGGCGCAGAGGAGTTAAGGAAAATGCAAGGCGGGGAGGTAGAATGCGGAAGCGGACCTTCCGGGACTGAATGCACCCTGCCAGGACCCCATCCGCCCCCCTCTCCCGGGTTTAACTAAAATCACCCTACAACGCAGACGGAGTTGCCTGCGTCATGCCCAGCACCCCCAGGGACCATTGCCTCTCGGCTGCCGGTGGATACTTGCACTTAACGCGGACCTTCTTGCCCAGACGGTCGTTGCAAACAACCTCGATCATCCTGTCTGGAGCTACACAGGGCGGGGGACGGGAGGCAGCAGAGTCAGGACTTCGGGGGTCTCCGAGGCCCCAAGATCCCCGGTTACAGAGCCTTACGTTCACCCTCCCAAGCCCCAGACCCGAGTCCTCCCGGGCCCCAGGTGCCGTATCCCGGGACCGCGGCCCCCAGGCAGCCGGGCCCCCACCCCTCGCCGCCATTCAGGCCGCCCCCAGGCCCGGCCTCGCCTCTCGCCGGCGCGCAGACCCGCGATCGCGGGGCCCCATCAGCTCTCCCCGACCCGGGACCGCTCTCCCTGGCCCCCGCACCTCCAATCGCCTGGAAGCAGCGGACGCCAGAACCTCGTCGCTCGAGGGCAGAGCCGGGGCCGCAGTCGACGCTGAGAACCGGAAGCGGAAGTGCGCAGCCGGAAGCGCCCGCTTCTGCTGCTCCCGGTGCCCGTCAACAGCCGGCCGGGTTCTTCCCGACCCGAGGCCCGGCTTTGGGGTCCTGAGCCTGGGCTGGGGGACATGTGCGGTCGGTATGCGGGGCCGAGTGGGGGTCCCGGCCCACGCAGGGGTGGGGAGGGTCGCGGAGGGAGAGTCGGGGGTCAGGGGCCGGCGCTTAGCCGGGTGGAAGCCGTTAATTGAGGCCCCTTCGCTATGGGGAGACACCGACTGTGTGGCATCTGGTGGGGACGCCAGGGAGGCCCGGGGGCCATCCCAGGAGGTGGGGTGACCTCTCTTTCCTGAGCCTGCCGACTCCTCTTCCTGCGGCTTCGGAGAGCCTGGGTCGAGTCCTGCCGTCGGCCCGGCCGGCCCCCGCCTTCATTCAAGTCTGGGCCTCGGAAGCATTGGCTCCTTGCTCCCCTCTGGCTGTGGCGCCCCCGCCCTGGGACACCGGGACACCGCGGGTGCAGACTACGGTCGATCAGCGAAGGAGCCGCCGCATCCTGGCCTGGAAACCAGCGCTTATTAGACTGGACGTTGCACACCAGCCTACAACACCCGGAGGCCCCTGGAAACAAAGCCTCCCAGGTCTGTTCTTGGAGGAAGGTCGCTCCCGCCCTGCAGGGGGCACTTTGTACCCAGATCTCAGCCTTACCTTTCAGCCCCCCTAGTCTGGTTCCCCAGGACTGGTGGGACAGGGGACACTTCTCTAAGTTCAACCAAAACAGCTGCTAATGGAACTGTTCGACTGTTCCTTCTCAGCCGACGGGATTCACTCTGAGAAGGGGCCACCACGTCCGATTCGCCCGATCCGCCTTCTCAAACTCGCATGGGAGATTAGGCGGAAGACATAAGAGGCCGTCCTGGGGAAAGGGCGGATGCTCTGGACCCTGTGGGGACTGGTCTGCCTTAGGGAGCTGGCTCAAGAGGCCGTCCCACAAGCTCGAGGTTCAAGGGCCTTCCTGCCACAGAACTTTGACCCGTCCTTCTCCAACGTCAGGGTCCCTCAGAGAGGGCTCCAGAGGGCAGGGAGTCTGAATGGAAAGCTTATTCAGATCGGAGGCACAGACCTTGGATCCAGACAGATGAGTCAAAACCCCAGCCTCATCCCTTCATGTTAAGCGGGATGGCCACAAGACGCTTCCCCTCTCTGATTCTCGTTTTTGTCATCTGTGGAAAGCAGGTAGCAAGTCCCACCCTAAGATTGTGGTAAGGATTGGTCTTGCACCAGCCCCTGACAATTCTCTAAGAGTTGGCAGAACAGATGGGGCAAGAGGGGAGATCAGAAGGTCCAGGGTGAGCTGAGGGGACGGATACTCCCAAGGAAGTTTGGAAGGAGCACATCTTTGCATTCACATAGAAATTCTGGGTCCCCTAAGGTGTTGATGCGGTTACCACTAGTCAGTAGAATTGCTGAGGCTCATTTTCCTCTTTGATGCTTTTTATTTCTCCAGATTGTCTACAATGAACGTGTGACTTTGGTAATCGGGGGAAAAAAGTAAATGTTAGTTTTTTTAAAAAAAGCTTTGGGGGGCCAGCCCAGTGGCACAGCAGTTAAGTTCGCACGTTCTGCTCTGGCCTCCCGGGGTTCTCCAGTTCGGATCCTGGGTGCGGACATAGCACCACTTGGCAAGCCATGCTGTGGTAGGCGCCCCATGTATAAAGTAGAGGAAGATGGGCACGGATGTTAGCTCAGGGCCAGTCTTCCTCAACAAGAACAACAAAAAGCTCTAATTTCATAAAGGCTGGGATTGTTGGGGGCTTGAGCTCCAAGGGGAGTGGGGGGGATCTCCTGGGAGGCTGGCAGCCCCAGCTGGGCTACGCCATCGTGAGGAGAGAGTAGGGGATGGGCAGCGGGAAGGCTCAGGACTATGCTGTACTCACTCTCTCTCCTGGACCCGGGAGGGCAGAGGAGGGGCCTCAGGAGACAGGGCACCTCACACCCTCCCGGCACCCTGGTAGTTATAATTCTGGGCTTCCCATGAAGGGACTCAGTGACTGCCCTTTGACGGGCCAGGGCAGCCGCATGCCTCTGTCTGGGCGGCAAACAGATCTGCTATCAGAGCTGCTCCTTTTAGGAGGAGGTAGGTGCTTCTTAGAAGGGAGGAGTTCTGGGCAAGACCCAGGGAGCCAGCTGGCAGGCCCCTTTGTCCTCTTGTTTCCTGGGGTTCTGACCCAGAGGCAGGAGCTGGTATGTGGAGGTCTCTTCCCTCCACCCTGTGTGCTGGTGGGGCAGGAGATGGTTCTTAGGAACCCCCTGTAACTGAGCCGGGGGCAGGAACACCTGGCTTCTGCTGAACGTAAAGGCAGCATCACCCAGGGTTCACCAGAGGGGAAATAGTCCTGCAGTACAGTGTGTCACGTGCTGTGAGGAGGGAGCCCAAGGCACTGGGAGCAGAGGAGACGTTGCCCCTGCACGATGACCGGGGCTTTCCAGAGGGAATCGTGACCATAGGGCACTGTGGGAGAGGCCCAGGCTCTGGCATTGGAAGGATCTGGGCTTGTGGCCCTGGCAAGTGACTTGACCTCCCCCATGTGATTCTTTTGGTCTTTCCTTCCACAGTCCCAAGATGGCTGCCAAAGCATGAAGCACTTTTTCTGTGCTCTTGGTGGAGGACAAATATCAAGGGGTTTAATTTATTAAGAAAACATTAGGAACTTTTTTTTTTTAAGGTACTGCTTGCACATGATAGAAATTCAAGCAGCACAAAAGTGTATACACAGCAGCATAAAGTCTCCCTAACCATGCAGACCCAGCCTCTCCCCAGGGGAAGCTGCCAGTAAGTTTCCATTTCTGAGCCAGCCCTGATGGCCTAGTGGTTAAGTGCTCTGCTTCAGCAGCCTGGGCCCTGTTCCCAGGTGTGGAACCATGCCACTTGTCTGTCAGTAGCCATGCTGTGCCTGTGGCTCATACCAGAAGAACTCACAACTATACACAACTATGTACTGGGGTTTTGGGGGGACAAAGGAGGAAAAAAGGAAGATTGGCAATGGATGTCAGCTTAGGGCGAATCTTCCCCTGCAAAAAAAAAAAAGTTTCCATTTCTGAGAGTCTGCATCTTCAAACATGTGCTACGGAGCCTCCTAAGAAAATAATAAAACTTTTCAGATGTTAATAACATGTTCCAATAGAGACAGGGACTTTATATTTTCAAGTACATGCAATGTGTTAAGTTATGTCAATGGGCAGAAACAAAACAATTTAGTTTTCATACAGGCCTTTGTGTATAAAGCGGAACACATAAGAAATTGTGTATGTGTTTTATTGGAGATATATATGGATATGGATATATATGGATATGGATAGATATACACATATCTATCCAATGAGATCAAACTATATACACTGTTCTCTACACTTTTTGTTTTTTAAAGAAAACGACATCCTGGAGATTATTCCAAACAGCACAGAAAGATCTACCTCATTCTTTTTGACATCTTGAAATCCTAAAAGTGGGATTGTGGGGTACAATGGGGCTGCAATCTGATATTGCCAAGCAGCCTTCGAAGAGTCTGCATCAGTTCGGCCCCATCTGCAGTAGTGGAGAGGGGCTGTTTCCTCACACCAAGGCAGTGTGGGTACTTTCCAGCTTCTCATCTTTCTTAATCTGATAGGTGAGAAGCCAGAGCGTTTTTATTTATGAATAAGTGTGAGCATACAGATGTATATTTTTAGCTTTATTGAGGTATAATTGATATAACAAAAATTGCACACATTTAGTGTATACATCTTAATGACTTTTGCTTTTGTTTTAAAAATTGTTTTCAGCTTTAAAATAGTCTCCAATTCCTGCTTTTGTGTGTATTAAAAACATTTATTGCCATTATAGACTCTTGGAGCAGTGATTTAGTATAATTAAACTCACATGTCCCTTGACCCATCAAAATGACTCCTGATTATCCTGTAGAAATAAAAATATAGGATGCGCACCCATACGTATATATGGCCATCCATGCATATATAATGAAGAGCCCTTAGCTGCATTAGTTTGTGGTAACAAGAAGTCTGGAAGCAACTTGAATGCTCATCACTACGGGAATGTTTAAACTACTGTTTTAAAAACGAGCGATCTACATTTGGTGGGAGTGTCGGCTCAAGACTGCCTCTGAACAGTTTGACAGTATCGGTCAAAACGACAGGCCCTTTAAAAAGCTATCTCACTTGTGCAAATTTATCCTGGCGTACATGCATCAAAAAGCATTATTAAGTAAACAGTAAAGACCACGCCCTGCACTCGAAGTCTAGTCTCGCCACCCCACCCTCCCCGCCCGTCACCGCCCCAGCCATGCCTTCCCGGCTTGATCCTCGTCCCGCCCTTAACCCCGCCCTTGATCGGCCTTACCTCCGTTAGCCACGCCCCCGTCTTCGTCACCGCCATGGCCACGCCCACGAGCCTCGTCCCCCACCTCCAGCCACGCCTTCCGGGACTGGTCCTCGCCCCAAGCCCCGCCCCCGGAGCCTCGTCCCCGCCCTAAGCCCCGCCTCCAGCCTTCGTCCCCGCCCAGCCACGCCTTCCGGGCTTAGTCCCCGCCCGCGGCCCCGTCCTCAGCGCAGTGTTCCAGTCTCGCGACACAGCCGTCTCTGCAGCCGGGGTACAGCAACGTCCCCGTGAGAGGAAAGCAAGACAGCCTCCGCCGGCTCCCGCGCTGCCGAGCCCCACTTCCCCACTTCCCGGGAGCCCCAGGTCGATCCCCGCGTCCCCTTCGCCGGAAGCGGAAATGCGTGTCGGCGGGATCATGGCGACGTTTGCCGACCTGCCGGACTCGGTCCTGCTGGAGATCTTCTCTTACCTCCCGGTCCGGGACCGGATCCGCGTCTCCAGGTGGGGAAGGGCCGGGCGGGGGGCGCAGCCGGAGCTGCGGACCTGGTCCCCGCGGGGCCGGGGTCGTTCTAACCGCGGTCCCCTCCCCCAGGGTCTGTCACCGCTGGAAGAGGCTGGTGGACGACCGGTGGCTGTGGCGACACGTCGACCTGACCCTGTACACGGTACGTGGGGCCGGCCTGGGCCGCGGCCGGGTGGCCCTAAATCGAGGACCACCCCTCTCACGCTGGACTTGGAGCCGGCAGTCCCGGGTGCGTCCCAGCCGCGTCGCTTACCTGCTCCTCCGCCACCTCCCGGCCTCAGTTTCCCCGTCTTCGAAATGGGGCAACCGAGATTCTGCAGGGAGTGGGCGTTGGTAGTGTCTGGCCTGTAGTCAGCATAGACGAATGCTGGTTTATGATTACATTACCACATATTATTATTATTGGTGAATTTTCGTGCAGAAATCATTTTCCATAGTCAATTTATTTCCAGAATGAATTTCCTGAGTAGTGCAACCGAGCCATTTCTCCTTTCTCCCGGTCGCATTTTATTGTTCTTGTTTTTATTCTTAAACTATTTCAAATATATAGAAATGTATAGAGGATAACGTGGTTTCAGATAACAACCGTGTCCTCACCACCTTGATTAACCTATTTTAACCTCTGCCCTTATTTGCTGCAGATCGTGTGAAATACACATGAAAATGTTATGTATACATATATGCGTATACAATTTGTAGAGATCTTTGTTGCACTTTTTGAAACCCTCCTCAGAGGCAACCACTATTAGAAAGTGGGTTTGTGTCCTTTCTTTTACATTTTTATTTCCTTCCTATGTGAGTGCCCTATATAAGCAATATACGGTATTGTTAACGTGTTTCTAAAGTTTAGATAATGCTTTTCTATTTATTTATTTAATTTTTTTTTAAAGATTTTATTTTTTCCTTTTTCTCCCTAAAGGCCCCTCCCCCCCCGTACATAGTTGTATATTCTTCGTTGTGGGTCCTTCTAGTTGTGGCATGTGGGACGCTGCCTCGACGTGGTTTGATGAGCCGTGCCATGTCTGCGCCCAGGATTCGAACCAGCGAAACACTGGGCCGCCTGCAGCAGAGCGCGCGAAGTTAACCACTCGGCCATGGGGCCAGCCCCGCTTTTCTACTATTTAGATAATTAAATGCTATTTTACTTACAGATCTATCTACAACCAGCTTCCTTCCCACAATGTCGCTTTTGAGGTTTATTCTAATTGGCGCTTGTAAATCTAGGTCTGTCTTTCTAACTGCTGTTAAATTAATGTGCCACCATGTGTTTCTCTGTTTTCCTGACAGACATTTAGGTTATTTCCAACTTTTTACGATTACAGTGTTATGAGGGAGTGTCTCAAACTTTACTGTGCATATGAATGTGTGGGGATCTTGTTAAAATGCACGTTCTGATTCAGCAGCCTGGAGTGGGGCCCCGGACTCTGGATTCTAACCTCCCAGGTGTCACGCACACTGCTGGTTCTTGTTCCATGAGAATATGCTGTGTGTGTCTTGTGTCCGAGTATGAGTTACTTGGAAGCCTAGAAGCTTGATTTCTTAGGGTAGAGTCATTTATACTTTATCATCTTCCATTCCTTTCTGCCATTCCAAAATCAAAAAGCCTGCAAAGTGAGTGTTTTTTTGGTAAGGTTGGCACAGATTCACTTGGTGGCAAAACCTGACCCGAGCTCATATGAGGCTGTCAATGTCCTTTTCCTTATCCCACTTAGAATAAATCGTCTTATGTTAGACTGAAAAATATTAGTCCAATAATGAGGTGCTGCCCTAGACCCCGATGATGGTATTATGTGTGGTGTCTGCACCATATGAATTCTGAATTCTGAACGCCCTCTGTCCCAAGGATTTTGGATAAGGAATTGCAGCCATGTATAGAAATGATTTTTATTGAGATTCACTTTTAAAGAATGATTTTTTTCCTGTATTAGTTGTTTTTTCCCACCATTTTATTATGAAAAATTCCAAACATACACAAAAGTTGAAAGGATAGAACAGAGAACACCAAGACACCCGCCATTAATATTTAACTACATTTGTCTTCTTCCTGTTGATGCATCCCGCCATCCCTCTTTCCATCCATCAATCCATCTAATTAAATTAGTTAATTTTTTTTTTTTTAAGATTTTATTTTTTCCTTTTTCTCCCCAAAGCCCCCCGGTACTTCGTTGTGGGTTCTTCTAGTTGTGGCACGTGGGACGCCGCCTCAGCGTGGTCTGACGAGCAGTGCCATGTCCGCGCCCAGGACTCGAACCAACGAAACACTGGGCCGCCTGCTGCAGAGCGCGCGAACTTAACCACTCGGCCACGGGGCCAGCCCCTAAATTAGTTAATTTTTTTTTTGCTGAGGAAGATTTGCCCTAAGCCAACATCTGTTGCCAGTCTTCTCCTTTTTTTAAATTTTTATGTGAGCTGCGACCACAGCATGGCCTCTGACAGAGGAGTGGTGTGGGTCCACCCCAGGAACTGAACCTGGGCCCAAGAAGCAGAACGCACTAAAATTAACCACCAGGCCACCAGGGCCAGCCCGATCCATTTTATTTTATTTTTATGTATTTGTTTTTTTCCTAAGCTTGGCACCTGAGCTAACATCTGTTGCCAATCTTTTCTTTCTTCTTCCTCTCTCCAAAGCCCCCCGGTACATAGTTGTGTATTTTTAGTTATGGGTCCTTCTAGTTGTGGCATGTGGGACGCCGCCTCAGTGTGGCCTGATGAGCAGTGCCAGGTCCGTGCCCAGGATCCAAGCTGGCGAAACTCTGGCCCACAGAAGCAAAGTGCATAAACTTAACCACTCGGCCAGGGGGCTGGCCCCTTCCATTTTATTTTTTAAGTGCACTTCCAAATAAGTTGCAGACATGAATCCACTTCATCCGTAAACCCTTTAGCAGACGTGATAGGGATTAACTGGAACATTTGTTTTACAGTTCTCTTTTTGAGATAAAATTTACATACTAGTGAAAGTTAATTTTAAAAAATCACACGAATCACGAATAATTCTCCTTGTAAAAACGTTGAAATAGTGCCACAGATGAAGCTAAGAGCCTTTGACAGCTGTCCTCTGGTGTCCGCATCCTTTCCCCTGAGGAGCCACTCTGAGTGGAATGTTTCCTTCCATCTGTCTTATCTGTGTTGACGCCCTTGCGTCTGTGTAGGGAAGAAACACCAGTGGTGACAGGGCAGGATTCGGCTTTGGAGTCAGGCTGTGTGGACACTTACCTCATCCTCTTGCAGCAAGATTCTGGCCAAGATGTGTTTCCTGGGGTGGCTGCCGCACGACCAGGCAGTTCCGTGCTCAGTGCCGAGCACTGTACCTACCAAACAGCGGATACTCAATGAGTGTTGACCATTATGATGGGAATATTGTACTCACGTAAAATAAATGGTATTGGGGCCAGCCTGGTGGCATAGTGGTTAAGTTCGTGTGTTCCACTTCGACCGCCTGGGGTTCATGGGTTCAGATCCTGGACACAGACTTACGTACCGCTCATCAAGCCATGCCTTGGCGGCGTCCTACATACAAAGTAGAGGAAGACTGGCAACTGAGGCTAGCTCAGGGCCAATCTTCCTTACCAAAAAAAAATATATATATATATATAGTTTTTTTCTTTTATCTATAAAGCATCATTTTGCCACTCTTTCCCACAGGTCTTGAGGAATTACCCATGTTCGTATCTCTACATCTGCTTTGTTCTTAAATCCTACGTAGGTAGCTATTATGTTACCAATGGACGTTTTAGTTTTTTTCCTAGATTTTGCTGTTAAAACAGTGCTGTCAGAAACCAGTGTTTCTCTAGGGTGAATTCCAAAAAAGAGGTATTACTAGGTTGGGCAGTGTGTGCATTCAAACAAACTAAAGAATTAGTTTTTAAAAATAATAATAGATACACAGGATTCAAAATATGCAATATCGTAAAATGTGAAAAAAAAGGTCTCCCCCTAATTCTGTCACCCAAGTCACCCCATTCTTTCCCCCAGAGGCAGCAAATGCTCCCATTTTCCTTTGAGTCCTTCTAGAGATACTCTCTGCATGCAAAAACACAAACATCTCTATTCTTCAGAAACAAAGCAGGTGGTAGTGGTGTCCGCATTTTACGCTTCTGTAGAAATCACCAGATTGTGTCTGAGGTAGCCAGACCAATTCCCACCAGCAGGGCTGGAGATCTGCTTCTCCAAATCTTGGCCAACATTTGATATTACAAAACTTCAAGAGTTTTCTCATTTGTTGTTTGCAAGTAAAAGTTGGTTTACTCATTGGCTTTGTGCCCATTTAATTTTATTATTTTTTTGGTGAGGAAGATTGGCCCTGAGCTAACATCTATCCAGTCTTCCTCCGGTTTTTGTATGTGGGACACCACCACAGCGTGGCCTGATGAGTGGTGTGTAGGTCTGCCCTCGGTATCCAAACCCATGAACCCCAGGCCGCCAAAGCAGAGTGCATGAACTCAACCACTGTGCCACCGGGCCAGCCCCTGTGTCCATTTTAAATTTAGCCTCCATGGCTTCTAGCCTTGTGAATTACCTTTTAGTGGCCAATATTTCTAGTAAGTTCCTTTCCCTGGCCCCAAACTTGCAGATCTAAATTTGGGCAGGAAGATTTGATTATTCTGTCAAAAGCAGTCCACAAATTTCATGCTATGCAGTTCCTTTTTAATTTCTTTTTCCTTCCTTCTTTTCTTTTTTGCTTAAGGAAGATCAGCTCTGAGCTAACACCTGTGCCAGTTTCCCTCTGTTATGTATGTGGGTCACTGCCACAGTGTGGCTTGACGTGTGTAGGTCCACACCCGGGCTCCAAACCCATGAACCCGGGCTCCCAAAGCACAGTGTGCTGGACTTAACCACTATGTCACATGGCTGGCCCCATTCTTTCTTTTTTCTTAAAGGTAAAATAGACATATAGTGAAACATACAGTGCTATCAGCTAGTTATATTTTGTTTGTTTGTTTTCCAGCAAGTCAAACTTCCAGGGTTTTTTTCAGCTTTTTGCTATTACCAGGCTGTGATTTTTTCTTTTGTTTTCAACCTGGATCTGATTTGCCCTGGACCAACGGCAGCTTTAGCCTTTGTCATTTTCCTTTTGTGTTACTGCCGCCACTGGTGGTGATTAAGAAAGTGATACAAATACCAGTGGGTCGCTTTGCTTTCTTCTTATTCCAGAAGATAATGAGAATCCACTCTGTGGCTAAGACAGCTCTGTTATGATCTTCTCTTTCCCCCATTGTTTTTGTTCAAAGCTAGAAATCAAAGTGACGGGGTTAAAACGTCTTGTTGCTCCTGGCCAGGTGTCTGGCCTGGCGAGGCTGGCAGTGGACAGAAAGGCAGAATTTCAAGGCAGTGCCAGACCCCCAGCTGGAGTTTATTGTGTCCAGGCAGGCAGGGACCCTGAAAGATGGCTCTGTATCTGCACCTCACACCCCGTCACCCATCTCTGCCTCTTACAGATGCGGCCTAAAGTCATGTGGCACCTCCTTCGCCGGTACATGGCGTCCCGGCTCCATTCACTGCGGATGGGCGGCTACCTGTTCTCCGGCTCCCAGGCCCCGCAGCTGTCCCCCGCCCTGATGAGGGCCCTGGGCCAGAAGTGCCCCAACCTCAGGCGCCTCTGCCTGCACGTGGCCAACCTGAGCATGGTGCCCATCACCAGCCTGCCCTGCACCCTGAGGACCCTGGAGCTGCACAGCTGTGAGATCTCCATGGCCTGGCTCCTCAAGGAGCAGGACCCCACGGTGCTGCCCCTGCTTGAGTGCATCGTGCTGGACCGCGTACCCGCCTTCCGCGACGAGCACCTGCAGGGCCTCACGCGCTTCCGTGCCCTGCGCTCGCTTGTGCTGGGCGGCACCTACCGGGTGACCGAGACAGGGCTGGATGCCGGCCTGCAGGAGCTGAGCTACCTGCAGAGGCTGGAGGTGCTGGGTTGCACGCTCTCGGCGGACAGCACCCTCCTGGCCATCAGCCGCCACCTCCGCGACGTGCGCAAGATCCGGCTGACGGTCAGGGGCCTCTCTGCCCCCGGCCTGTCCGTCCTGGAGGGCATGCCGGCCCTGGAGAGTTTGTGCCTGCTGGGCCCTCTCGTCACCCCAGAAATGCCCTCCCCGGCCGAAATCCTCTCCTCCTGCCTCGCCATGCCCAAGCTCAGGGTGCTCGAGCTGCAGGGCCTCGGCTGGGAGGGTCAGGAGGCCGAGAGGATCCTGTGTAAGGGGCTGCCCCACTGTATGGTCATTGTCAGGGCATGCCCCAAAGAGTCCATGGACTGGTGGATGTGACCTCACCTCTCGTCCCTGGGACCATCAGCTTTCATGAATGAGCCCCAGCCCCTCTGCGCAGGCCTTGTGGAGGGCGCGTAACCAAGCTGGGGAGGCCTGAAGGCCACTGGGAGGGAGAACCGAGGCCCTGGGGCCTCCAGACCAGTGGTATTATTGTTTGCAGGCTGTGTGACCTCTGTGACATCAGCCAGCCCCTTGGAAGCCCGGGCCCCGCATCTAGAAGTGGGAAAGACCATAGCTACCTCATGGTTATGCTGCAAAGCCTTACTCTCTTCCAGCCCCGGGCCCCAAAAATCCTCAATGAAGGGTCGTTCTCAGGGTCATTCACAGGGGCAGGATGGATGCAGAAAGGTGGAGTAAGGAGTTCGAGGGACCTGAGGTGCCAGGCCCCTCGGGAATCCTGGAAGGAGTGTCTATGCCTATGCACCCACACAGCCACACACCCCTGACATACCTATGTGCACCTGGGAGACACGAAGAGAAAGGACAGATGTGACTCACGCTTTGATGATCAAAACTTTAATAAAGGTTCTAAATTATATGTTCTGTATTTTGTATTCTGTATTTTCCAAGTTTTCTACCATATATATTATTTTGCTATTAAATGATTTCTTTTCAACAAAGTGCTTTCATTTATTCATTCAACAAAACTTTCTTTCTGTTTCTTTTCTTCTCAAAGTCCGCCAGTACATAGTTGTATATTCTAGTTGTAGGTCCGTCCGTTTGTGCTATGTGGGATGCCACCTCAGCGTGGCTTGAGCAATGCTATGTCCACGCCCAGGATCCAAACCAGTGAAACCCTGGGTCACCAAAGTGGAGCGTGTGAACTTAACCACTTGGCCACCAGGCTGGCCCCCTTGACAAACATTTCTTAAGCGCCCGCTATTTTGCAGGCACTCTTCTGGGCACTGGGCCAGAACAGTGAAAAAACAGAAAAGATCTGAGAAGGCAGGTGAGGACACCCATGGATAGCTGTGGGGACTCAGGCAATGAACCAGGGTCACGTGATGGAGGTGTGGACATCTGGAAGGGTGGGCAGGGCAGGCTCTCTGACCCGAGACCTGAGAGGTGATGAGGAACCAGCCCTGGGAAGTGCTGGGGAAAATAGAAAAAGCAAAGACTGAGATGGGAATAAGCTCGGCATTTTCCAGGAATGGGAAGAATAGTCCATGTGGCTGAGGAAACAAAGGATGAGCAATAGAAAGTAAAGTTAGAGAGACGATGGGGCAAGGTTGGATGGGGCCTCACGGGTGGCTCAGGTTTTAGGGGTTCAGGAGGAAGCAACTCCTCTTCCTGTCTTTTGAGTCTGAACCACTTAAAAGATGCAGGTGGCAGACCGATAGTGATCATGGGCGCCCACCCGTGAGATGAGCGTGACTTCTGAGCTGAGCTGGGTAGGAGGGTGGGTGTGGCTCACCACCCGCCCGCCAGTCCAGGGCGCCTGCTCTGTGGTGGACAGAGTGGGGGGAGAGAAAAGGGGCTGAGAACAGCATCCTTGGCTCCTTATTCCAAGCTCACCCATCAGAGAGGACCGGATGTTTCTCCCATGCTTTTCCCGCTGCACAGTGGAGTGGAAATTCCTTCCCCACTTGGGTACATGAGGACTGGGGTATGAGTCCCTGCTCCCACCCCCTGATGTGGCTGTGGTTAGGGTCTACTTGCCCCACGCTGTGACCAAAACTGGCAGCTCCAGCCCTGGACACCTGGGGAACTGGGTCGATCCAGGCTGGAGCGTGGGGACTGGAGTAGTCTCAGGAAGGGACATGAGATCTGTTTTGCTGGTGGAGGGTGTCTGGAGATGTGTGGTCTGTTGTAGGGAGTATGATGGAGGGGTCAACAGCAGCCCTGTGCTGGGCCCTGCAGGTGGGCTGCTGATGCCCCACCTGGAGCAGTTCCCCAGGGGACAAATCTTCCTTCCTTTCTCCTCTCTGCCTTTCCAGGAGGAACGGAGTAGCAGACATGAAGTTAGGGGCAGTGGTAAATGTGGTTAACGTAACTGTTAACAGCCGGCGCCAGCAGGTGGAGGGGAAGACCTAATTCGTATTGTTCGCAGCATTTGCCAATTTCTGTGGTTTAAATTCTCTCACCGTGGCTGGTTTCAAGCTACCGACCGTTTAACAACTCTTTCACAAAATTCCCAAAAGTTTTGTGATTGGCTCTCCCGAGCTGGCACTAGCTGGCTGCAGCACACCACTGGTGGGAGGTGCCTTTCTCCCAGGTGCACCCAGTGGAGGGCTCACTCTGACTTAGTGATTCCTTCCCCGGGTTTAGCTCTGAGGGGTGTTGGGGTTATAGGACCCCAGACGCAGCTGCCATCAGACACAGGGGCATCTTGGGATCTCCCCGCCCCTGACCATTGCCTTCTCCCAGATAAGGGGCTGGAGGCTTAAGGCTGCCCTCTGTTTTAAAATGTACCCGGGATTTGTTTTTAATCAGGTATGGAAAGGCGACAGACATGGAGACAACTGTCTTTGAAAGAAGAGTTTACTGCTTAAAATTCCCAAGAAGAGGGGGCATGCCATACCACGCAGGGCCACACGGGGGAGCATCAGGACTGATCAGAAGGAGTGAGGGGAAATCATGGGCTAGAGTCTTTATTAGGATTTTTGGGAAGGAATGGACCAGACAGGGTAGACAAGCTGAGGAAGCTTAGGATTGCATAGTTTGAATAATTTTAGTGGGCTCTAGGCTATAGTGGTGGTCCCTAGCTGTCTGTTACCTGGTCCTGGTGATTTAGGGCAGAGGGAATATTGGTTTAGTGTGGGAGAGTAAGATAAGGGAGGGGGTTGAATTGGTTGGTTTGCATTTGAAAGTCATGCTTAAAGCAAGTGTTTCCTATCTCTAGGAATTACCTAACCCTCAGAGGGGCGGTCCTTCCCCAGGTTTGCAAGGCCCTAAGATGTCAGAGCATCATAAAATACAGAAAATAAAAAACATGATCCATACACCCTCCAATGAAGGTGAAATCACAATAGGTGACATCTATTGAGTATTTATTACATGTGAGGTGCTTTGCTCAGACCTTCAAGCATGAACTCCTACCAGCAGCCCAATGAGGAAGGTACAGAGGAGGAAACTGAGGCACAGAGAAGTGAAATTGCCCAAAGTCATGCAACCAGAAAAGCAGCAGAAACTGAGTAATCTTATTCCACAACCTTCACCATCATGGGAAGCTGCCTTGCTGACATGTGACAATAGCTGAAAGGATGGCCTGATAATTGTGTTCCATCAGGGGACAAAGACCAAATATATAAAATTTTTATAGCTTTATTGAGGTATTACTGACATAAATAAATAGCACATATTTAAGTGCAGGATTTGATGAGTTTTGACATATGTGTACACTTGTAAAACTGTTATCAAACCTCTTAATTCTCAAGTTCGTGTGCCTGATGATCAGTAAGCCAAACACTGAGACATCAGTTCTTGGAGATGAATGAAGCTTTATTCAAATTGGCCAAAATGAGAAGGTGGGAGCATAGGTTCTTTCAAATCCGCCTTAACAAGAGAAGAAGCCAGGGGTTTTATAGAGCTAACAGGTGTGGCAGGAGGAGTTTCAGAGAAACAAAGGGGTAATGGTATTTCTTTCACTCCCAATAAGCCCCTGGGCAATCTGACTTCTGGGCATCGACAGCAGCTGGGGGCTGGTTATCTGGTGATCCCTGAAGGCGTTCTCTTTATTCTGTCAAACAAGCTCATCAATCCTGTGACCCTTGAGTCACCCCTCAGGTTAAACAGGAAAATAGAAAATTGACAGGATTAACGTCTTTACGTAACAAGGTCAAAGGTAATCATATTGAATATTTACAGTAACCTTTAGGTACTAGACTTCAAAACCATCACCACAATCAAGATAACAAACCTTTCCATCACCCCCAAACGTTTCCTCATGGCCCCTTGTAGCCCTCCCTGCCTCCTCCCATCCCTGGGCAACCACTGATCTGCTTTCTGTCACTATAGATTATTTTTCTTTCCCCAGAATTTTAGGTAAATGGAATCAGATAGTATGTACTTTGTGTTTCGAGGGGAGAGGGGTCTTGTTTCTCTCACTGAGCATAATGATTTTAAGATTCATCCAGGTCACTTTAGGAATTAACAGTTTGTCCTCGAGTAGTATTCCATCATATGGCTATAGCACAACTTGTTATCCATATATCAGTTGATGGATATTTGTGTTTAAACATGTCTGTTAAAAATAATTTTTCCTGGGGCTGGCCCCTTGGCCGAGTGGTTAAGTTCACGCGCTCCGCTGCAGGCGGCCCAGTGTTTCGTTGGTTCGAATCCTAGGCGCGGACATGGCACTGCTCATCAGACCACGCTGAGGCAGCGTCCCACATGCCACAACTAGAAGGACCCACAACAAAGAATATACAACTATGTACCGGGGGGCTTTGGGGAGAAAAAGGGAAAAAATAAAATCTTTAAAAAAAAAAAATAATTTTTCCTGATGTCGAAAATAATACACACTTGTAAAGAATTTTAACATTACAGAAAGTGAATCTCTTTCTCATCTCAGGCCCCAGAGGGAATCATTGTGAAAAGTTCGGTGTATAATCTTCTAGAACTTTCCTTGTCTACTACTGGGACTTCAGAGAAATATCAATTGATGACATCTCTTAATTTCCTTCCTGAGTTTGAGACCAGTCACAGGAATCAGAGATGAGAACATCAGCTTCATGATTGATGAAAGCAGGGTTGGAGCCTATGTCTTCACTCTGCAGCCCTGGTGGGCTTTCTGATATTTCACCCCCGAGTCTGCCAGACCTACTCAGGCGTGGCACAGCTAGTCAACCACAAGTTTCCCCTGGATGCATGGCCCCAGCCTGATCCAAATACCCGTTCTCTGGGGTCCAGCCAACTCCCAAAAGGAGAGAGAAGGGTGTGAGCTGAAGAAGCCCTGTTTCTTCTTCTAAACCCACTAGTCAGATAAAGTGTGTGGGTGTGTATGTGCAGAGAGAGGTCAGGACTGTCACTTCAGCTGAAATTCCCCCTACTTGGACACAGGGAGCTGGAGGAATGGAGTTCCCTCCCTAACCCAGACTAAAATAGATGCATACCTGTTTTGTGTCAGTCTCAGCCCACAGATAGCGATGCTATTGGCTAGGAATGCCTGAGGCACTCACCTGGGCCCCTACTATTCATGGCGAGTCCTCACAGACATTTCCCCAACCAGAGCCAATGTTGTGGCTGGACCGGTTCTTGTGATTCTTATTATGACTGCAAGACGCACCTCAGCAACAACCATGAGGGAACTTTGAAGAGACAAGGTTTATTACTCACAAGTCCTGGAGGGTACAGAGCATGCCCAAGAGCCACACAGCAAGGTCGCACACAGGTAGAGACAGAGAGAGAGAGAGAGCATGGACCTGGGGCTCTGCCTTTACTGGGGTCAAGGGTGAGGTGCTTAGGGTTTTGTGGGTTCACTCTGTATTGGTGAATTTAAAACACGAGCAGGAATTAGGGTGCAAGAAGAAAAAAGCAGGCTGACTCAAGCAGTCAGTTATCTAGGTTTCTGTGGGAATTAATAAAACAAACCTTCATTAAGTTGGAGTTGGGAAGGCCTCGTGCTGTATCAAACATCATCAATGACACCAGACAAGAAGTAAAAGTCCTTTACTACCGAAGGAAGATTTCTCTCCCCACCCAGCAACAGCCCAGCCAATGAGAAACGCCACAGCTCAGCCAATGAGAAGCCCCACAGTTCAGCCAATGAGAAACACCGCCGCCCAGCCAATGAGAAACACTGCAGCCCAGCCAATAAGAAGCCCCACAGCTCAGCCAATGAGAAACACCGCAGCCCAGCCAATGAGAAACACTGCAGCCCAGCCAATAAAAAGCCCCACAGCTCAGCCAATGAGAAATGCCACAGCTCAGCCAATGAGAAGCCATTTCCGCCCTGAGCTGTTACTCTCCTCCAATGGACTTTCCTTTAGAATAGCCCCTCCCTACTCCTCCTTTTTCTCTGTAAAAACAGCTTCCCTCCTTTGTTTTCTAGATTTGCCTATGGTTTCCCATAGCATGCACATTTTGAATTGCAATTCTTTTGGCTCTTCCTGAATAAACTCATTTTGAGGATAAAATAACAGACGAATTTGCTTTTTAACTTGACAAGTGTTAAGGGTAAAGCTCAAGCAATACATTTGGGGGATCTTTTGTTTATGGAAATCCCATTTAAAAAGAAAATACAAAAGGAAAAGATTTGACTACATCGAAATTAAATAAAAAGTTGGAAGATAGGAAAAAACCCAGGAGAAAGTATATGTGATATAAAAAAGATAAAGGAATAAATCCAAGATATATACGTACATAACTTGCTCCTATGTATCAATGACAAACAAGCAAGCAATTCAATAGAAAATCAGCATGGAAGTAGGCAATTTATAGGAAATATAGGAACTGGGAAAATTAATAAAAGGAAACCTCATTGCAAATAGATTCAGGAGGCCAGAAGGGGGAGCTCCCATGTAGTACTACTCAAGGTCAATTACTGGAAAGATGGTCAATCACAGACCCCAACAGAAAGAAGGCATCAACAGGAAAATATTCAATCACAGACCCCAACAGAAAGTCCCCAACAGTAAAGAATCATCAATTACAGGAAGAAATGTACAGCATCCCAAACAGAAATCGACTACTCTAGCAACTCAGCCAATGAGAAGCCATCACCACCCTGAACTCTTGCTTTTCTCCAATGGACTTTTGCTCAAAACAACTCCTCCCAATCTCCCCCTTTTTCTCTGTAAAATAAAATTCCTCTCTCTTATTTGCCTACAGTCCGCCACAGCATGCACGTCCCAGATTGCAATTCTTTGGCTATTCCTAAACAAACCCGTTTTGCTGGTAAAATAACTGGCTGTTTTATTTTTAAGGTTGACAAACATAACATTAAAGATTGACCAGTTGAACTACACTAAAGAACTCTATCAAAAAGACGCCGTTAAGAAAGGGAAAGTAAATTATAGTAAGGGGTAAGACATTTGACTACTGTCTAGAATAAAATAACTTCAGCAAATCATAAGAAAAAGACAAAATATCCAGAAGAAAAATGAGCAAGAACCTTGAGTAGACAGTTCACGAGAGATTTCCAATAATCAATAAAGATATGAAAAGATGCCCAGTTGTGGTGATCAGTGAAATGGCAATAAAACCACCCTGAGATGCTAGTACACACTCAAGAGAGTGTTGGAAATTAAAGGCTAACGATACCAAGTATGGGTAGGGATGCAGAAGAACAGGAAAGCTCGTGCACCGTGTGGGAGTGTAAAGTTGTACAATCATATTCCTTCTGACCAATAAAGTATGGCAGAGGTCATGGGATGCAGCTCCTGTAATTATGTTGCATTACCTAAAACTGCTAGTCAACTTTTTCTAGAGTCTTCCTGTCTTTGTTGCTGGTGTTTAGGAAGCAAGCTCTCCTGAATAGTACAGCCAAAAGGAAACTAATTCTGCCCACGATCTGACGGAGTTTGGAAGTAGACCCTTCCCCATCTGGGTCTGATGAGACCCAGCCCTGGTGACACCTGAGTTCCAGCCTTGTAAAACCATAAAGCAGAGAACCTAGCTAAACCACAGAAATTGAGATAACGTGTGTTGTTGTGAGCCACCAAGTTTACGGTAATTTGTTACACACCATAGAAAACTAATACAATCCACTTGGAAAACAGACTTTTCATGATGGGAGATAAGGATACCCAAGGACCCAGTAATTCTATTCTTTGGACTGTATAGAACAGGGATGCTTACACATGGGCTCCAAGAGATATGTACAAGTACAGGAATTTTTTATTTTATTTTATTTTAAGGAAGATCAGCCCTGAGCTAACATCTGCTGCCAATCCTCCTCTTTTTTTTTCTTTTTTTTTTTTTTTTTTTGCTGAGGAAGACTGGCCCTGAGCTAACATCCGTGCCCATCTTCCTCTACTAGAACAGGAATGTTTATACAAGTGTTATTTGAAATTGCCCCAAACTGGAAACAATTTAAAGTCCATCATCATTAAAATGGGTAAATAAATTGTGGTGTAGTCATACAATGGAATACAATACATAATTATCATGAATGAACTCAAGTATACACAATATGCATGAATCTCATAAACAATGTTAAGTGAAGAAACCCCTAAATTAAAAAAAGACCCTGTATGATTCCATTTCTCTAAAACTCAAAGACAGGCAAAATTAAACTGTAGTATTAGGAATAAATACTTATGTGGTAAAAAAAAAATAAAGAAACGCAAGGAAGTGATTACCATAAAGGCCAATATATTGCTCCCTTTTAGGTGGGAAGGCAGGGGTTTGTGAATGAGAAGGGACACACGAGATTTTGAAGGTTGTGGGGGTTTTCCTTTTAAAAGTATTCACCACCGTATAAATTTGTTTTGTCCTTTTTGTGTGTTGTATTTATTTTTAAAAGTTAAAAAAAATGAATTTCCACCAAATGCAATTTGGAAATGTACTAGAAATATTCCGACGTGGCACTGAGATGACAGGTTTTCTTGTGTATTTGTTCCACCATCGTAGTGTCCAACTGAAATAAAAGTTCTGTGAAGGCACGGCTCAGTATTCATTAAATGAATAAATGAAAGGAAAAGCATTACTAAGGGAAATGACGGTAACCACATAAAAGTAAAAGCAAAAAATAATGGATATAGAAAAGATCTAAACATGTATGTACCTATAGAAAGTCTAAAAGTCCTTTACAAATTAATCGTATAAAAACGGAAAGATTTAAATAAAATCAACAGTCCCAAGATTAACACACAAGTTTAAGACAAGTTCAAAGATAATACTGAAAGACTTCTGAAAACGGCCAAGAAAGGTTCGCAGTGAAGACTGGTGAAGAGGGATGTGCCCGTTGTCCACCGCAGCGAGGAAGGCCACGTCCTTGCACACGGCTGCGACAGCCCGGAGAGAAGCATCTTCCAGCCTCCGGCGGCCGGGCAGTCCGGAGCCGGCGCGAGGCCCCGCCCACGGGCCCCGCCCCGTCCTGGCCCCGCCCCCCGGTCCTTCCACCCCCCAGTTCTCCCGCCCGGTGCCGCCCCCGAGGTCCCTGGCGGAGCCGGCGGGCGGGGGCCCCAGCGCGTCCCCGCAGGAGGCCACGAAGACTTCGCCCGAGACTGGAGGACGCGGCCGCGCCCGAGCCGTCCGCGCGTCCACGCCTCGGGCCACGGGGGAGCGCGCGTTCCCAGGCGGCGGCCCCCGCCCCTGTAACGGCGCCCGGCTTTTCTCGGCGTCGGCCTCGGCCACCGCCCAGCGGCTCCAGGTGCGGCCCCGCCACTCGGGAGGCGGGAGACGGGCCGTGGGAGGAGGGCGGGTGCCAGCGGGGGCGAGGGGACAGGCCGTGGGGGGCGCATCCCGGCGGGAGCTGGAGATGGGGCCGTGAGGGCGCGTCCCGGCGGGAGCGGGAGACGGGGCCGTGGGGGCGGGTCCCGGCGGAAGCGGGAGATGGGGCGGTGAGGGGCGGGTCTCGGCAGGGGTGGGGAGACGGGCCGTGGGGGGGCGGGAAACGGGCCGTTGGGGGCGCAGCCCGGCGGGGGCGTGGGGGGGCCCCGGGGGGGGGGGGGGGGGGGGGGGGGGGGGTCGGGTCCCGGCGGGGGCGGGAGACGGGCGTTGGGGGCGGTGTCAGCGCGGGGCTGGAGGCGCGCTGGCGTTGCGCGGCGCTCGGTCCTCCAGTCCTCGTGAGCTGGGGATGTGGTCGGCGTTTGGGGTGAGACGCGCCGGCGAAGTTTCTATCAAGGGGGTCCCTTTCTGCCCTCTTTATGCAACAGAACTTCACCCGTGACTTTGGCTTCTGTGAACATCCTTGAGGTGAGGATATCATAAAACTTTTAAAAAGTTTTTATTTTTGATAAATTCATTTGGGAAAATTCTTAAGATTCCAGGGTGACGGTAAATAAGTGTAATAAAGAAAATAAAAGGAAATAGACTAAGTGCGAATGTAAGTAACAAGCCTTACAATTGAAGTGAGATTGTTCGCCTCTGTACTTCCCAGGTCAGCTCCCCTCTCCAGAGGCTGTGATCGCCGCAGGGATCGCCTAATGATATCATTCAAACGGCGTTTGGAGGCGTATACTTGTAGCTAAAGCATAAATTGTGAGTGAAATACATGAAACTGTATGTATTGAAAACATACGGATCTCCAGGAGGTAAAGGAGGAAGCAGCGCCTTCCTGATATTAGTAGCAGAAAGTCGAATTTACTAACGTTCAAAGAGCTGTGTTTTGATCAAGTGGGGTTTTTTTTCAGTGAGGTTAAAAACTCAGGAATGAGAAATTGGAGGAAAAGTAATTCTGGAGGAAATTCAGCAATGCTGCCTCCTTGTTTCAAAAATAATATTTGGCACACCTTGCGTTTTTCATAAGAATTTTTCTTAAAAGTTTCGGGAATAATACTGGTGGTTTATATTGTGGACAGTGTCAACTAACAAAAATAGAAGCCGGTTTAAGGGCTGGCTGGTGGTGCAGCGGTTAAGTTTGCATGTCCTGCTTGGGCAGCCCGGGTTTGCCGATTTGGATCCTGGTGTGGACCTACCCATGGCTCATCAAGCCATTCTGTGGCAGGCGTCCCACCTAGGAAGTGGAGGAGCATGGGCACAGATGTTAGCTCAGGGCCAGTCTTCCTCAGCAAAAAGAGGAGGATTGGTGGTAGATGTTAGCTCAGGGCTAATCTTCCTCAAGAAATAAATAAATAAATGAAAAATTTAAAAAGCAGCCAGTTTAAGAGGCAATGAGTTTCTCTGGGATCAAAGAATTGCAATTTGGGGAGCACAGATTGAGGCAGAAACCTAAATAGTGTCGTGATTACAGGAGAGGGGCTCAGGGTTTTTTATGGGAAAAGGGAAGATGAGGTGAATTGTCTTGAAGAAGAGTTCATTGGTGCTAGATGAGGTAAGACTGGGTTTGTAGTTCATACATTGGCTTGAGATTGGATCCTCAGGCCAGAGGCTAGACTTGTACCTCATTGATTGGTTAGTGATCTGGTCATTAACAAAGTCCAGTTCCATCAGTCCTTACAGACTACTGGATTGAGAATGGATTCTGGTTCCTGGGTCGAGAATGGACTTCAGGAAGCATAGAGAAGGCATAGCATCTGGAGAATAAGTCCAGGAACAGCGTAACTTAGCCTAGATTTAGGATGTGGAATGGGAAAGAAGTGTATGCAGTCCAAGTGATAAATACATAAATAAAATATACAGTACTGTTCTCATAGTTACGAAAATGACAAGGTCTCCTCAGTTCAAGGGAGATGAGAAAAATGAGTGGGGTTATTAGAGGGACTGGCTATAAGCGGGTGGGGAGTGTTCTGAGGGAGTGACATTTGAATCTGTGACCGTGAGGGGGAAGCTGAGGGAACAGAGTAGGTGGGGATGTGCTCAGGGGTCCTGACCTTCAGTGTCCTCGGCAGAATTCTTTGATGAGATCTGTGAGGAGTAGGCTGTGTCAAGGGCGGGTTTCCATCCCAAGTCGCCGTTTATTGAGATGGGGCCAAATGGTGTTGGAGGAATGAAGCATTCACAGGAAAAGGAATTGATATTCATGAATTGATGTAGACAAAGTCAAAATGGGCAAGGAGGGGGGCGATGAAAGTTTATGACTGTTGTAATTGCATTGTATAGAAAACTAGTGGAGGAATTAAAGAGATTTGATGGCCAAGCTGTGAAAAGTAAGTTCCCCATGAAAATTCCTCCGCGGAAATTTATCAGTGTTGTCTCCAGTGTATGTCTGTAAACAAAGGATCCGAAGCTCTATGCGTCATCTTGCAGCCGCCCCAGGGTCTCTCCTGAGAACCCAGCCGGTGCCTCCACCCCAACCCAGTGCATCAGAGGAGGTCCTGTCCAAATGGACCGGTGCTGAGAGATTCTCCTGGGACTGCCAGAGTCCCTGCTCACTTGCCTCTGGGCTCCAGCCTTCCTCCACCTCTCCCCAGGGGCTGGGCTGTACCTAGTGATGCAAATTGGGTTTCCCCCAGAGAGAAAAGAGAAAATCTGGGGATAGAGAAGGTCAGGCAGCTCAGAGACAGTTGTGTAACCTGGGAGGGCCCAGGACACCTGGGCATGGAGGGGAGGGGAATGGAGGGGGAGGGGAAGGTGCCACCTCCATTTCTTGCTGGGAAAGCCTAGGACAAGTTCTGCCTAAAAGGCAGATAGTTTTGGGTGGTCTCCTAGGGTGGGGAAGACGGGGGAGGGCCTGGGAGCCAGAAACCAGACGCTCGCCTCCCTGCTTAGTACTAGCTCCTTCCGCTGAATCCTTCTTCCCTTGGGGAATCAAGAACCAGGAATTAGGGATGGTTTAGGGCCTGAGGGTCTGGAAGGGCCCCCCACCCCCACCCCTAGTCCCTCAGGCAACGTCCGTGTTAATTACTGCTGTTAGGCTGTTGGGTTGCTCAGCCTGGCTGCCTCCACCTCTGCTTCTACATTAACCGGCCTCTGGCTGCGAGGAGGGCGTGGCCTTGAGTAGCTGGCCCCCGGGTGAGTGCATATGAGGTGGCCGAAGCCAGGGAGCCAGGATGTCCAGAGATCAAGGAGAGGATGCCGTTGCAGTCAGGCTGCTTGGGCTCGGCTGCCTGGTTGGGTCCCATTTTGCCCACTGAGGAGGAAAGGGAAAGGAGCCAGCTATGCTCTCTCCGCACTGGGTTGTTACCGAACCAGGTTCGGTTTTGCCCGTTGCCTGGAAAGCCAAACACTGAGATGACATTGCAGCAGAGAGCGGGTTTAATCATAAGGCAGCCACATGAGGAAGCGAAAGCATGAGCCTCAAATCCGCTTCCCCGAAAACAGGGACTCAGGGATGGGGGCAAGGTGGTCTGAAATGTGGGGAGAGGAGGAGAGGTGAGGGAATTGATCTGCGCATGCGTAGTCAGACTCGGTGCCTCTTCGTAGGATGCATGCTCCCATAATGGCGGTGTGAGCATGAGCTGAGGGTGGAGTTTTTGGCCTCTTGACATCAAAAGGTCACTTATCAGACATCTGTGCGGGCCCAGTTGATGAGTTGGTGGCCCAGTTGATGAGTTGGTGGTCTCAACTGGCCTCGAGTGGACAAGTGCTTCTAATTCCTGAAAAACAGCTCACACACCCGTTACCATGGTGACCCAGGCTCCAGGGAGATGTTATCTATGGGAGCCTAGTGGAGTTAGATAGCCTATTGCCTAAGCAGCACAGTTAACAATGGGTGGGTTAAACAGCTAAAAGCTATAACCAGTAATTGCCAAAAAAGAAAAAAAACCCTTTAGTTCCTAGCTGCCTAATCTCAATGGGAACTACTGGTTTCACTATGTTCATGCCAGAAGCTTCGGATGGTGCAGGTTTGACTTCCGCCCCTCCTGAGCCGATCCTAATGAGGATCCTGGGCCAGCGGCTGGGCCTCCTGCCCCTCGCAGCAGTTCATGGGAACCCTGAAGCCTGAGCCCATCTCTTAGCTGGGGAGGCTGGTCAGAGTCCCAGGGGAGAGAATCTGAGTGTGGTCTCAGCGACCTGGGTTGGGGAGGCCACTCTGTTTTCCCTGCCCCGCCCTGCTACCTATGATGGGGACCCCGAGTCTTCACACTGTGGGGAACGTGGACCCCAGATCCAGCCGTTTGTTCTTCTCGCCAAGCATGGCACTGACCTGCTCTGAAATCCCTCCCACTCCCCCCTCCCCCAGTCCCACGACCCCCACATTCTCCTCCTGCCATCACAATGTCGCAAGTCTGATATTGGGAGCAGCCGCTTCTCCCGATGCCACGTTTGAACGAGGAGTTGCATCATCATCATCGTTATTGTTGTACGAAGCAACTAGTGGTTTAAAACATATTTATAGCTTGCCTCTGTGTGTTACATGTGTATAATAGATCTAGGTAGAGTTTGTGTGTTTGTGTCTGTGAGAGTTTTGAGTGTTCATCGTATAGAAATTGAACGGAGAGTATTAATTACCACCCGTACCACACAAGTTCCCCTTCACTGTCCCCATGGGGTGAGGGTCTAATGAATTGGGAGCATGGGGCCCATCCCCTCCCTGTGAGTGGAGATGGCTGGGCTGGGCTGGGGGACTCCAGAGGTAGCTGCTTGTCCCTGTGGCTAGGACACGCCCACAGACCTGCTGACTCTGTCTAGTTCCACTGGGGGCACGTGGGCTTCCTTTGCTGGCACCACTTTATTCACTGGAACAACAAACCTATGTCACTTGCTTACTCTGAACTTGGCACAGGGCCTGCTTCAGGGACAAGAAAGACATGACACCATGGGAATGGCACTGAAATATTTATATGTGTGTCACGTAGAACATTAAAG